CTGCGCGACCCGCCCCGCCCCCACCGCGCCTTCCCATTGGGCCGCGGCTCCGCTCACTTCTCGGTGCCACCCGGGAGGCCGATGGGCCCAGAGAGGAACGGGGCGGAGCAGCGGGCGGAACTGGAGCGGGCTCTCTGTCGCCTGCCATGCTCGCGTCAACCCTCAGGCGGCCGGAGCAAGGACGCATCCAGGAGAGTCTCCTCCAGGAGAGGGCGCTCCTGCCTTGGTCGGGTTCTCCCCGAGAGGATGAAGGAGACTTTGGGGACAGGAACTGGGACTTGAGCGTCTTGTCTCCCAGATCAAGGCTCAATCTCTCGTTTCTCACACTCATAGTTGTACTTAAAGGGAAGTTTCTTGAGTTCGAATCCGACCCCACCAGTCACTAGCTGTGTGATTTGGGACAGATTACCGAACCTTTCTGTGCCTCTTGGCCCTCACCTAACGGGAATAATGAGAGCGGTTACCTCATTGGGTTGCTATGAGGATGGAATGAGGTAATAATTCCTATAAAATACCCAGGATAGTACCTGGCACATAAAAAGCGCTCTGTGAAAGTTCACTATTATTATGCTGGGCCCTGCTACTTTCCCCTCCTCCTCCCCCAGCCTGTCTTTGACCTTCATGGAAGGTTCTGTGGCTTCTTCCTGCCCTGTCCACTTAACAAATTTCTTTGCAACTTTCAGGCCCCTCAAACTCGAGGAGTCTGGAATGAAATTTGTCAGCCCGTTCTCCCCCAGACATCCAAAGCCCCCAGCTCCGTGAATGCCCACAGCCCCAGGACCTGCCGATCAGACTAGGTGCAGAGGAGCTGGAGGATGGCTGATGCCGGGGGCGTGGGGAGTCAGCGGCAGGCAGCCACTGCCAGCCTTTCTTGATCCTTTCCAGAGGCGATCCCTCCTCTGTGCCCTGCCCTGCCATCTCCTGGATGGTGGGACCAGGGGGCAAATCGAGAGGCAGGAGACCTAGGAACCTGGCAAGAGGCAACTGTAGTCACCTGAGTGACAGGAGAGGACTCAGCTGTGTCTTAGGAGGAGGGAGTGGGAAGGAGTCTGGGCTAACAGGAAGGGACCTCAGCCTGGCCTTGTGAGGTAGGGCCTGATGCCCTATTAAGGATTTGTAATTCCAAGCTATTCTGAGGACACAGAGCCTCAGAACTTGAGTTGAAGGGACAGCCCAGGCTCAGGAACCCAGGGACCTAATGGCATTCAAAGCACCTTAAGACCCCTCGCCCCCTTCGATGTAGCTGCTGCCTTGAGCCCTTCCGGCAGCTGAGAGCTGTAGGGGCTTTGAGGTTTTTTTTTTTTTTTTTTAATCTTTTTTTTCCTCTTCTTCTGTTTTTGTTTTTCTTTCTTTTTTAAAAAATTTCATTTCAATCACAGCCCCAGCTCAGACGTTCAAATTTTTGTGGGTTTTTCTGTGGATCTTTCCTAGGACTGGGGAATTTGGCGGGAGAAACCACGGCAGTGTGGTGGCCTCCCCAACCCTCCCCATATCCTCTGCTCCTGAGGATTGGGAAGAAACCAGCCCCTGTGGATTCTGGAGGAAAATTCCCCTTCTCCACCCAGCCCAATAGAGTCCGTACTCTAAGCAGCCCTTCCCCAACTCAGTGGCTCTGTGCATGGCACAGGGTGGGACATGGAGGGATTGGCAGGGCCTTGAGGGGAGAAGACCATCTCGAGGGGTCATGGGGCCCATCCCCCGGCATGGAGGACCTGCTGGCCAGCCCTCAGCTCATGGAGACGGCTGCTGAAGACTCAGCGGCAGGCTACAGCCTCCCTGCCCACACCACCCCTGAATCATGGCACCTCCCAGGCATCCTCCACCGGAAAAAGCTGGAGGCTGGAACGGGAACAGAGACTGCTAGGCCTCTCAGGGAGGGGGGAAGAAAGGGCTGAGTGGTAGAAACTTCTGGAAATGTGGACTCAAGCTCCATACAAGGAAACACTTCTCCCAGAGGGCACTGTCTAAACACTAGCTGGCTGCCTAGAAAGGGAGAGAGCTCCCTGTCTTGGGAGGTGTGCAAGCCCAGGGAGGCAGGTAAGGAAGTGAAGGAGTGGGTTGCTACAGCGAAGAGTCGATAGCTTTCTAAGGGGCATTCGTGCTCAGAGCCCCTGGGTTCTGTGAAGGAGGGCCATTCGGATGAGGGGCAGAAAATGGGGCCGAACCACCTGTCTACCTGGAGAGGGAGGGGTACAGAGGTGTGGGGAGGGTCATGGAGTTTGTAGGGTCCTAAGCAGACCCAGGCACTGCACAACGCAGCAAGAGCCAACCTCTTGATCATGGGGGAAACTTGGCCATGGGTCCCAGCAGTGCCTCGGCCGTATGTCAGCGCTTGGAAAACAGTTTGGAAAAATGAGACCACTTGACAGGCACTGGCCCCACTGAGCCAGGGATGGGCTGGCAGGGAGTGAAGACCGAGGCAGCCGCCACGTGAAGTACTTTACTCTGTACAGTGGACACAGAAATGTAAAGCCAACCAGGTGGCTTCACCCAGTGGCTTCCCTGCCCTGGAGCAGCGGGCTGTTGGTGGGTGCTGTGCTGGGCATCAGGAAGGAAGAAGGGCCCCCAGAGCATTTCAACCCCCTGTTCCAGCTGCCTTGAGCAGCAGACCCCAGGGTACAGGGCGAATCTTAATCAGAGGCTCCCTAACAGACATCGCCAATCAAAGCTGAAGTTCAGGGGTTTACCTCTCCATCAAGGGAGACAGATTTGCATCTGACAGTGTTGAAGGCCTTGTTGCACGGGCCTCGTGAACTCCTGCTCCCAAAAGAGGGCGGGGGGGCGGCCTTGGAAGGACAGAATCTCCCTCCATCCCATCCCCACCCCCAAGATTCCCTAGTAAGAAAAGATCAAAGGACTTCTCCCCATGTCCCCTAGTGAGCACCAAATGAAGACTCAAAGAAAAGACGAGAGAGGTGTGTGTGTGTGTGTGTAACACTTCGGGAGAAGAATTCACTTATGGGATTAGGGGTGAAAATGAAAGTGAGGGGCCCTTGCAAATGAGACGGAGAAGAGCCTCAACACTGCAGGGTCGTCAAAATTTGACACAAGCAATGAGACCCGAAGGATTCCTGGAACAAGAATGACGCTGCTGACTGTCATTCACCCGCCCCAAGCTCTCCGGGAACTGGCCTGGCTAAGCGCAAGCTACTGGGATGGCAGAAGTCTGGAGGGTTCCAGACCTGCCGCTGCGGGCCTGACAGGTGTGGGCCTGCCATGAGTGTAGGCTTGAGGGAGTCTAGTGGTCTCTGGTCCTGCGCTCGGGGGATGAGACTGTCAACCTAGCAGCCCACTGCTGGTTCTAGAATTCTCTCATTCTAGGCCTGTGACCACACTGAGAGTCTATTGGCACTTGAGGATGGAGATCTGTCCTGGGACCTTGGCCTCCTCTTCCTGTCACTTCTGGTCCCTATGCTGGGGCAGGGAACATGGCAATCCAAGGCAAGGGCAGCTGGAGAGACAGCCTTTGAGCAGGGCAGGTGGCTCCCTGCCCACTGGACGCCTAGGCAGTGCTGCCTTCACACCCTGTCAAACCTGGCCTTGCCTGGGGCCTCCTGCTTTAGGGCCCCACCCCCATCTCCCGCCTCTGAGGGGCCCTCTGAGCCAAGGAGATGCCGCCCCTCCCAGGTCATGAGCTCCTGCAAGAGCACATTTCAAATGCCCAGGACCCTGATCAGATCCCAGCTCACTCCTAGGGCCTGTCCACTACCACGGCGAATCTCGCTTCGAGGTTCAAGGTGTTTGTGAGGGTGTGGACAGGGCCAAGCTGAGTGGGCTGGGTGCACCCACAAATGCGCTCCTGGCCCTAATGGAGCCAGGGGTGGGAACCGATACGGGGAAGGAGAAAGACCAGAGCCAGAGTCTTCACTTGTCCTCTTGCTCCAGGCTCCACACGTGGCGGGGGCGGGCTGGGTCCCTGCAGGCATTTGGGTCCCCAGCTCTGGCCCTCACCCTCCGCGTTTGCGGTGGTTTAGGTGGACGCTTGAGGCGCAGTGAGGAGTGGGCTGGTGGTGGCGCGTGCACGAGGCACGAGGCACGGAAGAGGTGCGCGCCAGCACGAGCACGGAGCGGGGGGGCGCGGGGGAGGGTAGCCCC